TGTGTGTGTGTGAGTGTGACTATATCTAAATATATCTGCCGCGACCAGTTGTGGGTGAGGAGAGGGAGACGAGATAAAAGACACACTATTAAGAAAGAGCTTAATAATAACTGATGATGGCGTGCAAAATGCAGTGAGAGAATGAAAAGGGGTGAGTCTAGAAGAAATGCTCAGTGAATCATGGTAAGCCCCCAGCAGCCTAGGCCTATTGCAGCAAATCGAAGGGAGGGTTCAGGGTCACCCGCTTTGCTCCAACTATGAACTTTATCAAAAGGTTAAGTTTTAAACCTAATCTTAAAAGTATTGAGAGACAGGGAGTCTGTCTCCCAAACCCAAACTGGAAGCTGGTTCCACGGAAGAGGGGCCTGAAAGCTGAAGGATCTGCATCCCATTCTACTTTTAAATATCCTGGGAACTACAAGCAAGTAGTCTATGAAAATGTATGCTATGCCTTCTAAGGATACTGCCCTAGTGAAGCTTTTATAATGTAAGAAAGCACTGGTCCCAGCACAGAACCCAGTGGAACGCCCCATTTATATGAACAAACTGTTTGATAGATTTGCTTCGAACCACTGCGGCGCAGTACCTTTAATACCTGTGTCATGTTCTTATCTGTATAGTAAAATATTGTGGTCTATGGCAGTGAATGCTGCACTGAGGTCTAGCAGGGCAATCATAGAGAGGAATCCACTGTTGCCACAAGATGATGAAGTGTAAATCCTGACTGCAACTCTTCAAATAAACCATTCCTCTGCAGATGACCATTTAGCTGGGGTTTTTTCCCTTTCAAGAATTTCTGAAATAAGAGGAACATTGTTGAATAGTCTGTAAATTGGCTGAGACAGCTGGGTTAAGTGAGTATTCAGTATCAGGTTGATGGTTTTGAAATATATCTGCCCTGCTTGGCAGCTCAAGTTCTCTATATGTCGGGGGCACTTCTGTTGGCAACCCCCATGCCAATAGAAGTGATGTGAATGGCTTTTGAATTCACAAATCTCAAACCACTTATAATGACTTTGACGAAGGAATGATTTTAAAATGGGGAGATCTGTCTGTGACATCTTCCAATTACTTGATTTGTCTCACCAAAATTAAAAAATGAATATAAAATCAATCTAAGAAATATATAAACATGAGTAGTAATCCTCTTCCTACATTTTTAGACAATACAGTAATAAATAAGTAATTATTTTTTTATCCTTTATTTATTTACCCTTTTTTTTCAACGCCTCAGTTGTAAAAGGCTGATAAGGTATTGTTATCACACTGCTGGATGGGAGGGCAGGGGGCGGGGACCCTAAGTTTGTAAATGCAATAAGACCATACAGGAGCTCCAAATTCATACCATAGGTCTATCTACTAAAAATCTCAGACAATCTAAACTTGAGGTCAAGATTACTTTTTCTGAGAACCTTGTGAATGCTATAAATCTAGAATTAGGCAAAAGTGCTTCAAAGGCAAAGCAGTGTGGTCAGTCATGGCACTGACTGTCAGCCATTTTCAACAAAGTTTCAAGATGTAATTTTACCTCATACTACCTTTGGAAACTTGAGTATCTTTGCCATAGAGGTGGTTCTGCATTCTCTTAAATTTGAGACAGATTAGAAGTATGCGTAACATTTTGACAGGATAACTTGATAAAACTGAGTCGCTTTCTAGGTTGGATTGTTGTCTTTCTATATTTATCTGATTTGAGCCCTCAGATTTTGTGACCACTGTCTCAAATTGCTTTGAATTTGTGTTACCACTGACACTGCAAGATCTTTCATCGAACTGTGTGTGTGTGCGTGCGTGTGTGTACTGTAGGTGGAATTTGCGTCCTTTTGCCATTTCAGTATCGGTACTGCTTTCTTGTGGGTAATTATGCAAGGTTGTTATTTTGCTGTTTTGTCCTGCAGTCACCTAGTTTGTGGTATTTTGTCTTCTGTGACTGGCATTTGTATGCTAGAGCTTTCTCATTTTTCTGTCTCCCAAATTCAAAGGAGTCAGCCAGACTCAAAGTAGTTGACATGATCCCACAGAGGGTTATCTGTATTTTATTTATTTATTTATTTTTCTTTGAACCCCTCCACCCCCCTTGCTGTCAGTATGCTAAGGGACACTTCAAGTTCAGTCACTGCTAAACAGCTCTGGTCCCTCAGATCTCTTATTTTCTGCCAGCTGGCTCCCTAGTTAGGTCTTTGTTGTTGTGGCCTTCGGCATCATTCAGCTGCCTGAGTGTCTACTCCCACAGTCTGACAGACTCCAAAACCCCTGTCTTGGACTGAAGACACTGGACATATAAACCTGGACATCGCAGTGTGGAGGGTGGACAGTGGTGCTGTCCTTGCTCCTGTCGCCTCATAACGAGGAGGTTTAGGGTTCAAACCTGCTTGCTGGCTGCAGTCTTTCTGTGTGGAGTCTGCATTCCCCCACCATGTTAGTTGAACTTGTGATTCTAAATCAGCTATAGGCTTGGAATATGCCAATTTATCTCTTCTGTGCTAGCACTTTGACCTGTCTCAGGTGTAACCCACCTGTCACCTTTTGACTGATGGAATATTCTAACTACATTCTCAAATCTAAGCTGGATTAGCAGAAAAGAAAGTGTATAAAAAGACAGTTAATAGAATCTTTTTAATGGTAATTTTTATTGTAGATGTGCTATCAATAAAAAATAAATTCAAGTCTGTGGAAAACGGGCTCGGTTGTCTTTGATTATTTGGTATTTACCATTTCTGTATGCCTTTTACTTTCTATAAGACACTTGGGTTGTTTCACTTGTGCATCATTGTTATCACCATATACAATCTTCAGAACAAAAGCTTTCATGACTGTTTTGAAAGACTAGCCTGTAATTTTAATATAATCAGCTGTATTGTTTACCCCTTACTGTTTTTGAGGAAGAGCCTGTTACTGGTTTGAGCTTTCAGAGGCGTTTGGCCTTATGCATTTGGCTTAGTCCCAAATTTTTGCTGCTCCACTTGTTGCCATGGAGGCATTCCACTGGGGCCGCTCTCAGTGAGGACGATAACACTGTTTTGGGAAGAAAATAGAAATTTCAAAAGGTACATTAAATGCTTAGTTTTCGTGAGTATATCCAAAGTATGTAGGATGTATTGATTTTCCTCGGAAATGCTTCCATTACATTGTTTTTCTACAGTATAATTTATTATTGTAAACAAGCTTTCTGCCAGTGACAGAATATCCGGACTATTAGTTATAATCATCTATTTTATGTCTGAAGAGCTGCATGTTATCTTTGGGGACTAGAAAGAACAGATGTGAATGTTTTTGGTGAATCCTCAGGGCACCTGTGAGTCCAATTACAAATGTCTGTTCATATGACGGATGGCACCTTCTCCCATTAGACCTTGTTGCTCTGCCTCTGGGGTAAATAGGAGTATGATATGATGCCCGAAAATTGTAGTCACGAAATTTCAGGATCTCTTAAGCCAAACCCAGTTTCAGCAATAATGTCAGAAAACAAATAAGGGTTGCATTACAGTCTTAAACCATTTAGTTAACCATGTCTCCATAGTTTGATGGTAAGCTTTCCACTTTATTGTCGATCTCTGTGTCTTGGCTATTTTGTTATGCTGGTATACTTGTAAAAGCAGTTCAGTTAACATCTGTCTTTCTTTGTAATCCTCTGCAGTGCACACGATGGAGAGAGGCACCTCCTTCGCCTCCGAGCATGGCAACAGAGGGTCCAAGAAGCCAGCCAAACCCAAGAACCTAAGCCTGAGAATGTACCCCTTTTTGGGGAGCCATACAAGGTAAAACATGCACCTGTAGGTTTTAATTCTTGTGGTTATGTATAGCAAGGTTTTCTTTTTGTGTGTGAGGGTTTTTTGTTTTTTGTTTTTTTAATGTTAATGACTGCAACAGAGTGATATTGTGACAGTATGTGCAGAACAGGTTTAGGCAGTTTTTACATCATGAATACAATATCTGGTGTATTTGATATGCATTTAAAGAGTCCTGCCAGATATTCCTTCTTTAGTCTTTGCATCCCAGTCTTTACCACTTTCATTGCTGTCTTTAAATCTATTCAGTCTCCTGGAAAGTGAACATTACTGATCATGCTAACTCACTATAAAGAGGATTTAAGATTTTTTTTTTTTCCATTGCCTTATTTTTAATTGATGGCTAATTGTAGCAACTTTTAGAAAACTATTGGATAAGAATAAAGTTTTGTTTTGTTTTTTTGGTGGGTTTTTTTTTTTTCCGAATGTGAAAAGAGAAGGACTGTATGTAGCCTGAGAGATAAAAGCCAAGTCCTTGTGGTCAGCTTTTTATTAATTTATTTTTATTCAAATACTCCCTCTCCTGTGTGGCTGAAGACTTTTTTTGAATATCTATTTGTTAATTTCCCTTTATTGGTTTGTATGTATTTGGGTGTGAGCACCTATGCAGCTTTTCTTAGTCCATTTTAGAGGATATCATATGCCAGGACTTTGGTGCCTGAGGGGTTTTGTGTTTGCTAGAACACAAAACCCCTCACTCTCTGTCACTCTCAGCTGTGTGTGGATTATGTTTGTGAACTAGAAGCAACCAGACAGACTTTGAGTTCGGGGCAGTTATGTTTGGAAAAATGCTTTATAGGCTGAATATTGTCCTTCTATTAACATGTTGATCCTTTTTGTAGACAAACAAAGGAGATGAACTTTCCAATCGAATCCAGAGGATGCTGGGCAATTATGAAGATGTGGATACTCCCTCACCACTTTCCATTGAGACGATACCCACTCCCGCTTATGCAAACCTCTCACAGTCAGATCAGGGTCAGTTAAACACAGATAAATCAACCAAACCTCCAATTCAGAACCAGGTCCTTTCCATGTCCACACAAAGCCAGAAGGAGCCTTCTAGTAACTCCTTGCACCCCATGAGAGGAGTTACTACCACTTCCCCGACTCACCATGGACATTCATCCACTTTCTCAAAGCCACCTTTAAACCACAGTCAGGGCAGTCAGCTTAACCACTCAGCACATCCTCAACAACAACAAAAGAAGAACGAAGTCTTCTCAGACCTCAGGGACCGTGCCAGTCTTTACCACAAAATGTCTGATCAGTCTGACGATGTTAAGCCGCTACCCTTCGTACATTCCAGTGACCATAATCACATGGACATGGACACTAAGGACACTGTTGATGAATATCAAGGGTCCACAGACCATGCCTCTGAGTCTTCCAGCAATGTAGATGTTTCCACATTGAAAATTAAACAATCCCCTAAGGATGTATCACTGCCTGAAGCTAACAAAACTAACGCACTACCCTCCCAGACTTTTCCTCTCCTGTTGTCATCTAAGCAGCCCAGTGTGGTCATGACCCAGAAGCCAACAGCATACGTACGGCCCATGGATGGGCAGGACCAGTTGGTCACAGAGTCACCTGAGCTCAAGCCTTCACCAGAACCATATGCACCACTGCCAGAGTTGATAGGCAAGTCTGACCTGGGTAAAACAAAGAAAGCGCCACAATTTTTGGAGGTGAGTTAATTGTCTTAGATATTACAGCTTAGCAACTGTGAAATGTGCAATTTTTTTTGAGTAAAATAACAATGACAAAGTACTTTAATTTATTTGAAAAAACATAAATGAAATGCATTTATATAGCACTTTATCCAATTTTGCCTCCTATACTCTTGTTACTAACTGCTAGCAGTGGGCTACCATGTTGCTAGCCCAACTGTCAAAACTTTATTGGGGTTAAGGGTTAACAACACTCTCTCTTCCTGAACAATAATGCCTAAACAAGTTGATTATGGTGCTATGGTAAATGCACTTTTCGGGATGCATTATAAATAATAAATAGGTTTGAGTGTATCGAGCCAGGAGAAAGTTAGCTTGGCATAGATGCCACACAGCCAGTAAAAGTTAAACTTGTTTTTTTTTTTTTTTTGCCTTATCACTTGTACCTGTGTAACGCAAACAAGATGAAACCTACCAGTTAGCGATAGAAAGAACAAGGTTATTTGTTTTTCACTCTCAATGCCAAGCTAAGATAGTTCGTTCGTTCTTTCATCATCAAGTGGTAATGTTGCCAGAAAACAAATGTCAAAGTATTAATTTAAAAGAAAAGTCAGAAACGGTTGTAAAAGATTAAAAAAAAAAAAAAAAAAAAAAAGTCCATTTCAAGATTAGCTACTGCCACTTAAAGCCATTCATTCTGTCAAGCTTGTGATATTAAGCCCACAACATCCAGAGCTGGAGGGAATTTGGTTTTGTTAATAATGTGCGTTATTACTAATACAGTTGTATTACTGGCAAATTATCTTTAATGTCTCCACAATTTGCGGTGATTCTACTTGATTGTTCACTACGTTGAAAACATCTTGTTCTTTTTTTGTTTTTTTGAGAATTTGGCAGAACTCCAGCTGAACTCTATTCATCTGTTCTCTATCACACGCACAAACATACACCCAACCCTTGCACCTGCACTGCTCCGCACCTCCCCCTTACCCTCCTGCAGCAGCAAATCTGTGTGAATAAGCTGCTGTATTTGCTGCTGGGACAAATCCAGTGCAAGATAGCTTCGCAGTGACTCACTTGGATTTCTTACTAACGCCTCATCTGCATACGGCTATAGATGTCTTATGTCTTATCTTCTGTTGTTAGAAACACAATGTAATCACTGTTTCATTTTACAATCGGATGAGTTCTACATTATTTATCACAAGAGTATGGAAACTCCTGAAAACGATGCAGCGTCTTGAAAGTTTACTGTGTAAATATTACATAATGTCTTTTGAGCACGTGCTCATGTCTTTCTCAGGTGGACAGTATGATGTTGCAAGCAGCCTGTGTTTGGCCCATTCAGTCTGACCTTATCTCAAACACTATCCATTCAGAAGGAAAAACTGGGAGAGACTCCTGAAAACAAACAGAAATGTAGCATGTGGACTTATGTGTTTGTAGTATTTATCTAATGTAGCTGCCTGATATAGAGTATTGACAGTTGTTGCTTATTTTGACTGTTTAATCAGAAACGCACACCTCAGCCCACTGTTTAGTCAAATGTCATACATACGAAATACGATTTTCCACCCTCTTATGCAGAAGTCTTTCTGTATCTAGCACAGGGATGAAATTCTTTTTTTCTTATTATCTTATAACAATATTAATTCCTATTACTTTTGAAAACTATACAATTTTCAGTGCTGATGAGGGACAGCTATTGCATTATCACTGTCTCTTGGCTATAAATTTTGGAGTTAATGATGTGAGATGTTGAAGACAGATTTGCTGATCTTTATTTTGTTTAAAGATCTTTGGGTACTTTCAGAAATGAATAACTATAGTTTTGTTTTGTTTTACTCCGTAGACAAAGACAGATGAAGCTCAATGTGTAGAGGACATCTTAAGGGTAAAAATACCTGCTTGCGTTCTTATTTTCAATTCAAAGGCAAAGGATGAAATTAACAAACGTGTTGGGACTCCAGTAAGAGTGTATGCAGCATGCACTACACGTACAATAAATATCCCTTTGTTTTTTCTCTCTATAGGAAATGGCTCATGCTTGGCCACCTCTCCTAAAAACTATATGCACACCAAGCACAGATGAGCCCCCCAAGTCCCCTTTCCTAGCCAAGGTAAAAAATCTGATTTTATGTTTCACGTGTCTATATAAGTGCAGGGGTCTTGGTTGCCTCATTATTTCCTTCTGTCAAACTTGAAATTATTGAGCAGAGGTCAGTCACTGTAGGAGACAGAATAAATCTTAATTCTTCTAAGGTGCTATGAAGTATTTTGTATCTTATAGTCTTCAATGAAGTCCAGATTGGCCAAGTTATTTTCTTTTAAACTATAGTTGTGCAAAAGCCCCCTCAAATTTTGACAAATTCACATCAAGTACTGTGGTGTGACTGAGTCACACACTGGCAATAAGTCCATGCAGCTGTGCAGTGGCCTTAGACATTAGGAGATAATTTACACATCACTTTTATGCTTCCCCAAGGATGGATATTTTTGGCTTTCACTACTGTCAGCCATAGGTCAACTTCTCAGTTACACAAGTCAAGTTAGATTACATCTGTGATTAAATTAGCTTTGCTTTTGTTTCTCTCAGAATAATCTTTTCATGACCTCTAAAATCAGCACAAAAAAGCTTTAAAAGCTGTAACATAGGTCTTGTTGCTAAAGCGTTTATCAGTTGAGCCTAAACGTGGGCATAAATGTGCAGATATAGATCAAGTACAAGTATGACCTTGATTAACACTAGCATGTTTCTTTATCTGTCTTTACAGGAAGCAAAGCATGCCTCTTCATGTCCAGGACAGAGTGAGTGAAGCGAAGAAGTATTCAGTCATAGATCAAGCAACCTTAGTTAGAAATGCTGTTTTCTATACTATCTTGAAAAATCGGCAGTGAATGCAAACCAGGTGCTAGTCTGTTATGTTTGCGGTTGATGGTGGTAGCAGGCGGCTCTGTCATGTGATCTATTAAACAGGCTCTTTTCTGTGGCCACAGATCTGAGAAACCACCCACAGTTTTATTTCATCTTATCTAAATGAGAGAAGTAGTGAATGGTGTTTTACTTCTTAGTTTCCACTTATTATTGTTTTCACTATGATGCCTTTCATTTAAGCAACAGCACTGACACAGCTCTGACCTATCAAGGCATGGATGGAGGACCTGTGAGGGTCTACTATTGTGTCTGGCACTTGAACATTGGCATCAAGTCCCTTGGGGTCCTGTGGTTTGTGAGGTTGCTCAGTTAGATTGAGATCTGGAGTGTTTGATGACTGCATCATTGCCTTGCACCCTTTGCAATGTTGCTAAAGCTGTTTCTGAGCTGTTTTACAGTGTAGTCTGGCATATGGTAATGCAGGAGTAGGCTCCTGCCTGGAGAGTGCCATGCGCATGTACACCCTGCTTTGGATAGTTTGTAGATGTCAGTGTATAAATGCTTAAATGGTAGGAATCCCAGGACAACAGAGCATGATCAGTATCATTTATGTAACATTTCTGGATATCAGTGGATTTTTCCATCAACTTTTTACATGAAATGAATTAAGTACAACTCTGGTGCTCTGTCAAAGATGGAAAAATGTTCTATAGGGAAAGTGAGTGGAGGCAGTGTATTAAGTCTTCCTTTAGCTTGACATATTGGTTAAATGTCACCAACTTTCAGGTCCTACTGGCAAAGGCGGATGTGCAGTTACTCAGTAACTCCCAGCTGTTGAAGTACCTGCCATCAAATATGGCGGGTGCCGTGTTTTACCAACACAAGTTAAAAGTACACACACCAAAGATCCATATAGTGTGTGAATGCCATGATATGAGACATAATCTTTAAAATCCAAACTCTGCCAGTAGATTTCAGTGCAAAGGCTTAAAACCACTTTAAACTTCCGTTGTTTATTTTGTTGTACTAATTCTTGTTTACTTTTTCCAGGAAACCATGACTCCTTACCTCCTGAGTCATCTCATCCCAGCCAACAGATGTCCTCATCGTAAGTGCCGTGGCAGTTAGCTGAAATGTGAATTGCCAGCCAAAGAACCATGCTAAACTCAAAAGGAAATCACTGGTTTTCTGCTATTTACTGAATTATTTTTCTAAACAGACTTCACTTGCATCACTCCATATTTAAGTAGTACTATTTAATTTAAAACCCAAGTGTATCAGCATTATTGTTATTGTTATTGTTGTTATTGTTATTGTTGTTATTATTGTTATTATTGTTATTATTGTTATTATTATTGTTACAAAGGGGGGGGAAAGCAGCAAACAAAAATTGTTAATTGCTGAAGTGGTTTATTATCAAAAAAGTAGCAGATTAATTTAAACAACTAATGATTTAATTCAGTCTTTGTGGCTTTAAATTTATTTTAAAACAGTGCACTTATTGAATTGTTTCATCAATTTTTTTTTCTGGTACATATTTGCCGAATGTATTACTACTAGAGAAAAACTGTGAATATTGATCCGGTGTTTGTGTGTTTTTGATGAAGTTCATTTGAAGGGGCACATTCCAGCGGGGTAGAGTCTATGAGCTCCAGTGAATCGGAGAGTAGCTCGGGATCAGATTCGGAGACTGAAAACTCTACTGTGGAGCCACCTCAGCCTCCAGCTGGCACCTCAGTTAAAACTGCGGTAACCGTTCACTTTTATATGTACATGTACAGAATCTTTATGTTCGTCATTTTCTGAAATCAACTTGTGTTTGCAGGCTGACGCCCCAGCAGTGAGCCATGAGGACTGGCAGTTGGGAAACTGGATCAGGTCCAGCCAACCAAATTCTGGCAGTGAAAGTCAAAGCGCGGTACTTGTTCCTGAGAACACCTCTCATAAAGAACAACAGTTCACTCAAGACTTCAAACACTCCAGCGTTCAAGTGGTTGACTCTACTGGGGAGTCTCAGCCTCAGCTTTCTTCTCACCACACAGACAGCACCGCCATTTCTCAGCAAAGCAGTGAAAGCTCTCAGGACAACTGTTGTCTGCAAAGTCGCCAAAAATCTCTCTCTGCTAATGTGAACAGCTCAAAGAAATTCTCAAAATCAGTGAAAGGAGGTTGTCCAGACCGCACTGATGCAGCAACCCCTGTGAAATGTGAGGAAGCGGTAACAGCTCAAACAAAATACCCATGTTTCACAGATAGACCCAAGGTAAAGACGAAAGTAGGACACTGCAAAAAAAGTAAGGAAGGCAGTAATGGTAAAAGAGACATTAAAAGGACTAAACTCAATTCACAGCATTTTCCTAACTCCTGCCCCGCCCAAAGCCCTGTTCAGCCTGCCCCACTAGTCAGCATCAGTTGTAGCAAATCCAACGCAGAGACCATCTGCCAGACGGGCACCAAGATGCCTCACAAAACGACCCACAAGCACTTAGAGAAGCCTGGGCGTATTGCCAAGGCTTCTCTGGACCTCGAGAGGACTCCCAGATCCCTAATGGTGAAGATAGAGCTAAGTCTGCTCTCAAGAGTGCCCCAGACCTCTGGCATTCACCAAGGAATTCCCAGCACTGCAAAACAATGTGCACCGGTCATGGATCCAGATAAAGTAGGCGGTGGTACTTCTGCAACACACAGCCACACTAAAACCAGCAGGAAGAGTAAACCACAAAATGTGAGAAGCATGAGGTTTGGTGCTGTTCTAGTAAACATACATGTGCACGGAAAGTTTTTATTTTATTGCTTGATTTGTCCTCTTCTCTAGGCTGAGGTAGACAAAGGTCTTCCCAGGAAGAAACAGAAGCTGGAAAACAAGAACGCTTCATTGACAAAAGTTTCTGTGAAACTGAAGTAGGTCCCCTAAATTGGTCAGATCTTTATCATTTAACCATCTTACACTGTGTACCTTGAACTGTCCTCAATGATCTTGTCACCTGCAGATGTTCAAGCAGTCTAGCAGAGGCGCAGCAGTGGAAGAAGGCCAAGAAAGATTGTCAGCCCCCTGAACCATCTGAAGATGCTGCTAAAAAGTCAAAGCTTCACAAGAGCCAGGTGAAAACACAAGAATCGAGTAAGAAAACAGAAAAGAAAAAGGTGTCTCATAAACACAAGAAGAGCAATGGAAAATCCACAGAGCACCCAAAGTCTGAAACGGTAAATATCCTTCTTTTCCTTTAACCAGTAATTTGATTAAGTGATTTGTAATTTAATCAGAAAACTTGGCTCTTAGTAAGCAGAATTCAAATTTTAACCAAGATGTGCCCTGCAATCCTAGAATAAGTCCCCAAAGGTCAGCTTTGCTGTAACATCATCATCACAGCCCCTCAGCGAAGCTGTGGCTAACAGATCCTTGCTCAAATCTGAAGAGAGGTAAGATTCATTGCTTGTAATGTCAGCTAATATCCTGCTTATGTATTTTTGGTGCTCCTCTCACACTAGTACTTTATCTCACAGACAACATCCAGTGAAGCATTACATAAAAGAGGCCAAAAGACTGAAGCATAAAGCAGATGCAGAGGTAGGTTTTCTTTAACTTGATTTTATAAAGTTTTATCCAGTTCAGAGTCATACAACTAACTAATGACCAATATGTACATGTTTCTCTCCGTAGTCGGATAAGCTCAGTAAAGCTTTCAACTACCTTGATGCTGCCATGTTCTTTGTTGAGAGTGGCATTGCCATGGAAAAAGATCCACAGACGTTGTTGTCTTCCTACACAATGTTTGCAGAGACTGTGGAACTCCTCAAGTAAGAAACTGCATGTATCAGAGCTTGTTTGCACTATTATAACTTTTGTTGGTGTAATGGCAAAGCTACAGAGTAAAAGTGCTCCAGGTTTTGGATACATTTAACAGTTCTGATAAGTTTATTCTGAAATGTTAACATTTTAAATGGAGCCCGTCTGATATAGGAATGTTATGACCGATACCATTTTTTTTAAAATTTATTAATGATGATATTCCACTACAGATTTCTGTAACATTTATTCTCTGCCTATCTGCTTGGATCATCTGGTTGTTGTTTTTTGTAGGGTTTGAACGAAGCTGCAACACACGGTCCTGTTGTGGGCAAACTATGTAACAATGTAACAGTGTAACTCTTTTTAAAAATTAGATTTATCCACTGTTCTAATCAGCTACATAAAACGTAGATAAATGACTGATATCAGCCAGTAATGTGAGATCACAAGTAAGTTGGACTCTAAATACTTTCAAAGTAAATAATTTTTTATGTGATGCAGAAGCAGTCTATCATAATGTGATATAAAATTGTAATGTTCCAATGAGAGCCTTATAGAAAAACAATAGCATCTTATAACGCTGTTTTAGTTAGCACAGTAAAAATTGCCTGTAATACGCCTGGCACCAGGATATATTCAAGAGTGAATTAATAGTGGAAGCAGACGCATGCCTGTAAATCATGTCGCCAAGTACAGAGCAGGGAAAATGTGTCTTTTAACTTTCAAGACACTCAAGCAAGTAATTTATATTTCTCTAGAAGAAGACAAACATTTGTCACGGTGTATCTATGGTATTTGTATTTTGGTTCTGAGTTTGATCCATGACTTGATCTGACTTTCTAATTTCACAGGTTTGTGCTGAAACTTAAAAACTCAGTGGACCTTTCTGCTCCGCCCCCAGAGAAAGACTTTCTAGTTTTATGGTAAGGTTTAAATGATGAGTAATGTGCTGTTTTCTCCATTTATTACAATGTCTGAGACCCTATTAACCTGTGAAGGTTAAGTTTGTCTTGATGCCTCCTCATGTAACGTTAGTTCAGGAAGTTAGACTGTATCACTGGAAACTGACTGATATGTAGTAGCATAAAGTTCTTATTAAACAATTCCTCACATGTCTAAATATGTTGTCAAAGAAAGCGTAAGCAAATAGAAATAAGAAATTAGGAGTTGTAGAATAGATGGATAATATTCACTATTATTCTGTTGTTTGTTTGTAGTCATGTGACCTATGAGTAACAGTCATGTGTGTCCTGTAGTTTGAAGTGCCAGTCTCTCCTGCAAATGGCCATGTTTCGACACAAACACAAAGCTGCACTAAAGTATTCAAAGACCCTCACTGAACACTTCAGTGTAAGTATTTAAAGGAGATGGCTTGTAATGGCAGATTGCCTTATTACTTGTAGAAAATGGCATTGCTGTATGAGCACAGGAGCTGGTCAATATTTGTTTTGCTGATTAAATTTCTCTTGCAGAGCTCTGCTCAGGCAACACACAATCCTCAAACATCTAGGCAAGTCATTTTCTTTCTATATTACAGTAACGGGTACATTGCTCTCAACTGTGTAAAGACATTCTGTACTTGTATTTTTTTTTAACAATTCTCCTTTAGAGTGGGAGACAACCTGTCCACCTGCCTGCCATCTCCAGCCACCACCTCAGGTCTTAGCTCTAACCACAGTGCCAGTGGGTTGGTTGTGGGCAGTACTGTGGCAGTTCCTCAAGCCATTGAACAAATGACTTTCACCTATGTCAACATCACATCATTGTTTTTGAGTGCTCATGACATCTGGGAGCAGGCAGAAGAGTTGGCACGTAAAGGCAGCGGTAAGAACAAAGGAAAAGAGACCAAAGGTTAAAGAAGGTTAAAACGACCTGGAAAGCACAGTGAATGTTTGTAGTGTGGAGGGACTTAAAGGCATTGGTTGTGCTTTTCTAACCACACAGGACACTTTAATTATTGTGCTTTAATAATGATGCAAATAGTCACTTGTCGGATGTTCATAAGCAATTAATCTGTTGATTTTAAAAACTCCACTAGGTTTACAAGAAACATTTTATCAATCATAATGCGCCATCACCAAAGGCAAAGGATGCAAAGTTGGTCAGCCAGTAAAATTTAGTTGTGTGCAGCTGCAGTGAGAAGGGTTTTCCCCTCATAGCTGGCATCTGCTTGACAAGGATTTAGGACATAACGAAAAATTGTGTATTTTTTAATTGCAGTTTATGCATAGGAAATTGTGTGCGAAACTAAGGTAATATTGAGAGAAACTGCAAAGTATAGATGACAAACTAAGGAAATATTGAAAGATCCAGTTGTTTTGCTTGCCCTGTTGCTTTGCTGTTCCTGTAGGCAGCTGACATTCTCGGTATGCATCACTGACTAACTTGTACCGTGCTACATCACATTTATTTAAAAAAAATAAAAAAACAACGAATTAACAAATTAAAATTGTTTGACTGACTTGTTTTTGGCAGCACGGTGGTTAGCACTGTTGCCGCACAGCAAGAAGGTCCTGAGTTCAATTCCACCATCAGGCTGGGGTCTTTCTGTGTGGAGTTTGCATGTTCTCCCCGTGTTTGCGTGGGTTCCCTCCGGGTACTCCGGCTTCCTCCCACTGTCCAAGGACATGCAGCTTGTGGGGATAGGTTAATTGGATAATCCAAATTGCCACTGGGTGTGAATGTGGGTGTGAATGTGGGTGCGAATGGTTGTCTGTCCCTGTGTGTTGGCCCTGCGACAGACTGGCGACCTGTCCAGGGTGTACCCCGCCTCTCGTCCTATGACAGCTGGGATAGGCTCCAGCGCCCCCCGCGACCCTGAAAAGGATAAGTGGAAGCGAATGGATGGATGGACTTGTTTTTGTTTGTGGAGCTTTACCATGCTTTTGTTTTCATGTGTTTCAGGTATGTTGGCAGAGCTGGACACTGTTATGGGGCCTTTAAACCTGTCTTCAGATATGACCTCCATGGTCCGCTACACAAGACAAGGTGTTTACTGGCTGAGGCTGGACAGCCAAAAGGTATGACACCGAAGGCCTGTGAACCTTCAAGCTGCCTCTCACTGCCTTAAATTCACGTTGGTATGATTACCCTGATCACAACCTCAGCTTACCCTCAGGCTTGTGCCATTTTTGGCATGGACATTGACTAATCTCGTCGACAGTATCGATGCGGATGCATGCTCTAATGGCTAGATTTTGGATTCCCCATCAAGAAGACAACACACACTGATGCTCTTGTTCTTTCTGTCGCCTTGTTTTCCTGGCACTTTAAAAACATGGACGTATGCTGAAAACCACACCTTCAGATGATGTCAGAAAATACTTACAAATTGGGGCTTAGTGGCATTTGAATGGAAGCACATCGGATATTTTTGAAAATGGACTTTGGTCCTACTTGGCTGATAAACACAGTTGTGGTGGAAGTACTCACAAAGGTGTTACTTTTTTATGCTGATTATACCAACTTTTGTTATTGATGTCAGGAAACGCAGCAGTTAAATGATATTTAGTCTCAACTTTTCCTGGTTAATTTTATTTCATATCTGTTTCATTCTGAAAGTTAAACTTAGGCTTTTGTATTTTTAATTTTTTTTTTTTCTGCTAAAGACCATGAAGTGTGTTGCAGAAGTGCCAGATGGTTACATTAAATTGGCATTTAATTTATTCATTTTAAATTCTCCATATTGGAATCTGTTTTCTGTTGTTTCAAATTGGCTTTGTCAGATTGACAGCACTGTGGTTGTACAGAGACACAGTGCAGGTGCAATAAGAAGGCTAAATGATAAGCACATGCATTAATCACAATCAGATGAATGAAGGTATGTTGGGGTACAACTAACATACGAACAAAGGTGAGAGGCAGAGTTGGAAAAACCTTTATTTCAGAGGGGCTGTATCTGCACAGGCATTTTCAGAAGCCGTTGTGTATCAGGTGCAAGTGTAGTCTTGTTGATTTCAAGTTCTAAACATTTCATTTTGTGTCCTACCTTTCTGCTCCTGTGAGGAATGCTGTTTTTGTGTGAATGATGACTGGGAAGTACCTGACTCACTGGTGAATCATGGTTAATGGTTTTTTGGAATAATGGTGAAGCTGTGGTACGGGGTGATCTGGCTGCAGTACCGTTTAATTGTAGTGCCTAGTTTGTTAGACCAAAGCAGACTTCATTTTATTCCTGTCATCAAGTCAAAGAAGATTGCACTTTTGGCCTCCTACTTGTGGAAACTATAGCGTTCAAGTGTCAAATAAAAGCAACGCACATGTTGAGTTTCTAGTCCCTGTGATCATTCCTGCTGTCCATGCTGGCTGTGAAAAGGTACACAATTCACAGTGCTCTTCTTGTGTAACCAAATTCTTGCTTGTGTCTCTACAGACATACTGTAGTTGCACATGGTTGGCACAGACAACCAGGTAAAATATCTTGCAACCTGATCTCATCTCAATTTGTGCATTTATGAGGTGCAGCTGGCCAAACATGGTACATCCTCAGGACAAAGGAAGCACAGTGCTACTGTTATACCACTGCTAATGCCTGAAGCTTTTGTTGAGCTTGCTTAAAAGAACAGGAAGGTAGAGTCAGGTGACCTGGCTGAAATCAGCCATTACAAGCCAATATGGTCAGATTCAGTGGACACGTCACTGCTTTTAACTTGTATTTTTCCTTATATGCTCTTGATGCAGATCAAATGTAAACACAGGTCACTGGATCTGCTTCCAGAGATTCAGCTGAACAGAAAAAGGGAATTTTGAACAAAAAGATCAGATTGAGTTCAGCTTACAAAAGCATTTTTATGCAAAATGAGGACTGTGGATTTTGTCCCCTAACACTTTCATTTTTATTGCTTCATGAACAGAAGGAAACATTTCAATATCCAGTGATCATTTCCATGCATGCAAAATGTGAACCTGGCCTTTAACCAAAGGCGTGTCTTCAAGTCCTTGTGTAAACAAAAGAAAAAGGTCTTTCTTTGGCTGTGATGGTGGATGTAGTGGTTCACTTTGAGCCTGTTTGTCAGTCTGTGTTGCCTTTAAACTAGATTGTTGTAGTCATTAACAAAGAAGATGCTATTTAATGTTTCCTTCAGTTTTTGCACCAGTAAGCTTGATCTGTGTTCCCACACTTTGGTTGGCAAACTTTAACTTAATCAGTGGGAAACTATGGCTTACTAATGAGAGTTTTGAGCATTTTGTACTTAATTTCAGCGCATTATTGTGCAGAAGGGCTGTTTCCAAGACCAACGTGACTGTGTTAGTCGTTATTGTTTACTCCAAGTTTGGCTCACAGCAATACAGTTTGGGTTGGTAACATTGGTTACACAAGTTTTATTTGGGGGGGGGGATACAGAAATGATCAGTGAGTAATTATTGAAGCAGAAAAAGAAACTTTGGTTTAGACTAGTGCCATATGTGCCACTGGGTTTTGGAAGTTTCACTTTTTAAATTGGTCGTTTCGGTGTAGTTACAAGATTTAAATAAGGGCTGAAAAACGATCAAAGTATTCTGAATTTTATTTTCTCATAAATAAAATTATTATTCTTTGTAAGTAAGAACCACTGGTGCCATGGAATGTGGGATTACATTTTATGTACAGATCCTCAGCAGTTTCTTACCTTGGATGCCTCCATGAATGGAAACTGCAAAATTTGTCATTCAGGATTTATAAACTGTGCAACTTTATCAGTTTTCTGAATTCCTGGGTTCTTGTACTTTCTCATCTGTGGCTTTATTCTCATTATCTTTGGTTGTTGGTGCTTCATTTATGAGTTGCTCCGCAACAGATTTGTCTAAATAATTATTTACTGGAAACATGTCTAAAAAGGGTTTTTGAAGGATGTTTGTGTTTCATTTTGTAAAATATGTTTAAAAAAAATAAATTTTTTGTGTTGCAGTGTACAGACATGAATAAACACTGGAAATGAAAACACGGTTTTTTGTTTTATTTTAAAAAAAAAAAGAAGAAAAAAAAAAGAATAATTTGGCACTTTGCTATAAAATCTGCAAAACAGCAACTGGCTATATATCGACATCATTACTGCTGCATGTGGAAAAATGGGGAAATGTTATCTCACTATATTTTAATGGTATTAGCGTATCACAACATGTTGACTGGCAGCACTGATGCCTCACAGCAAAAAGTTTCTGGGTACAAATCCACCAGCCAACTGAGCCTTTTCTGTGTGGAGTTTGCATGTTCTGTCTTGCCCTTTGAGAGCAGGGATACTCTGCGTTGTATAAAAATAACAAACTATATTATTGATTTGCAAAAAATATCAGTGTTAATGTGAAAAGCTCGACGATTTATGTGTCCGATTCTCCTACGAAGTTGGGGTTGGTAAAGGCAGGCTGCAACACAAGAATTACATGAGTTTTAGCACTGACATCAATATATTTGTTTATCCAACCATGACAGGCTAATTAAAAACTTACCACATCAATTATACTGGTGCTTTTTGCTGGCAAGCTCAAGGTGCTCAGTTTATATCTACGCACACTGAAGACGTAGAACAGTAGTCCAACTATTATGGTGACGACCACAATGACTGCAACAACGACGCCGGCTGTCAGCCCTACGTCTGTATGGAGACAAACCAGCTCAGGTGAGAGATGAACCTGCTAGAATCACTCCAATGTCTTACTTTGCTTATACCTATGCGATTGTATTTCAGTGATGCTTTACACTAAACCCTATTATTAGTATTCTAACATGCTCAATACTTGTGTAATAGTGGTGTCTGGATGTTAAATTGACAACAAAGACTACATAAGGTTAAGTCAGATGGGAAATTTTAGAGGAAATAAAACTTTAGTCTGTGTGTGGTACTAAATAAAATAAGTGGATCAGTACACTTGTTAATGATTGTGGCAGGGGACATTATTAGCGATTGCCAAGATCATTCATCCAACTTAGTAACTGAAATCCACACTTAAACCTGTAAGGCTGCAACAGGTGAAAAGTTGGGGAATTTCCAGAGTAGTTTTTTTTTTTTATCTGGGGACCACAAATGTCCCCAAAGTCTCAGAAATCAAATTGGGAGATTTTGCTCTACAAGGACTACCTGAAATAGACCTGTTGTTGTTGTTGGGGGTTTTTTTGGTTTGTTTTTTTTATTAAATGCATGGCAATTATTATTTGCTGGCATGAGAACCAAGTTATATTGTAAAGCAACCATATTTGTCACTTACTGTTAGCTGGAGCTTCAGTGGGATAAATTGGATTTTTGTTCTCATCTGTTTGATAAACTGAAAGACAGATTTACAAAGAGCCTGTTATTCCGCTGCTTATCATTACCAAATTCAATAAGCGTTATTAAAGCTGCAGAAATTGCCTTACATCTGTGCTGCATTAAAACATCTAAAAAGGGAAATAGGAAAAATGCTTACACTGAGGGTGGCGGCAAGCAAAACTTTTCTTCTCCATGCAGTTGTTGTCATTCCAGCGTCCGTCTTTGTACATCTCCACACAGTTCTCGGCCATGTTCCCTGGGTGAAATGCTGAATTGGGCTCATTGGGAGCCCAGTTGAGGAAGCTTACAGAGGTCTTATCTGTCCAAGCCCAGCCAACTGGAGGTTTAAAAGAAAAGTTGATTCATTTTACTGAATTAAGCCCTGGTACAATGGCCTTGTGAAAGCAATGAATCTCTCTCTTTTTCTTTCCATTTGTAAACTCACAGTTGTTATCCCTGGTAAGGCCAATCCAGAGGTTCATATTTTTGCTGTAGCTGAAGCTCTTGAGGAATTCTACATCTGCTCTGCTGTGAATGGAGACCAGCTCCATCCTGCCTGCCTGGCAGTAGTGTTCAGAGTCCGGCCAAGAGAAGCCGACCTCACCACTGTACACATAGTAACAGTACTTGCCATAGGGTATCGCAAAGGGCAGACACATCCCATCACCAGGGGCGGGAGTGGTTGGGGGTTTCTCTGAGAGACAAGTGTTATTATTAAAGGTTATATAAATGAAAGAATATATAATTAGTCAGAAACTGACTAAAAGCAATAAAAAAAAATATTTATTTTAAAGTTCAGTTCTGATTGAGCTTGTACCTGAGGTTTTCTTGCAGATGTATGGTTTCTCTAGGTCACACTTGGTGTCATTCCAGGTCCCGTGGAACATCCTCGAAGCATGCATACTCACACAACCCTCATCCTTAATGTTAGTGGGCTCTCCTGGTCCCCACTGGGTGAAAAAAACTGGCCAACCATCTGTCCACATGTAGGAATCATCATCCTGCATCACAAGGCAACAACATATGATTAAATGTTTAGATTGTCATGGATCACACAGTGCCGTTAGACAAGCATCAAGGAAGTGACTCCAAGAGTGCAGAAAAAAAAAAACAAATACCATTGAGAGAAGACACAGAAGGTTTAAATCCACAACTGATTACTCAGTTGTTTTTTTTAATAGCTCTGGTAGCTTTCATATTAGAGATGTCTGCCTTTGATTCCTAGTTTAATTGAAATGCATCTACTTTTTTAAAAGTAAATCTTCCTAGTAATATTTTCTCAATACTTTTTATTAATGTAGGATCTTTACTTGCAATGAGGTATTTTCACCTTCCATAATTAGTGCCTTTCCTGGAGTATTTTTCTTCTACTTGTAGCATATTTAATGCGAATTCTTCTGAATTCTACTTGGAACAAAACTTTTCTGTTTCTCTCTAAACAGCACCTTGCGCTTCAGTCCAATCCAGGCATCAGCTTTTCCCTGCAGGACCGCTCCAGCCACAAAGGCCTGGTCGTAGCTCATGTCGATGCTGGCCAGATTGCCTCCCTCATCCTTGCAGGCTGCCTGAGCTGCATCCCAGGTCGCTGGCTCCTCCACCAGTTTGTAACAGTTCAGGTACCATGAGATGTACCCTGCTGGGCAGGGGCTCTTTGTGGGTGGAGGTGGCTGGATACTGCTTGCTAATATTTAGGGAGATTGACAAATACTTAAGAAGGTTTAAGCTAGCATGCATTTAAAATGTTTTTTGTAGTCTGTGAAATGCAATTGCATCTGAGCAGGAAGAATTATCTCTGGAGTGTTTACTAACATTTCTTTCTGGAGCAGACGAAGCTGTGATTGTTGTCACAGTTGTCATCGTTCCATTTGCCAGTTAACAGGGGGCTATGAGTAATCGTCACACAGTTTTCCTGTTGAGCAAACCAAGAATAGTCAAGCCTAAATGTGTCCTTTCACAGTTTATGAGCCCACAACTTTACAGTACTTTCCCATCTGCTTCACTCGATTAGTGATAATCTGAAGCAAAGTGTCCTCACCACTCCGTTCGCATTGTTGGGCTCTTTGTCATTCCAGTTGGTGTACAGAACTGGACTGACCCCATCACTCCAGGCGTACTGATTCTCCACCAAGAGATCTGACAGACCGATCCATGTGGGGAGCTCCAGGTCCCTCAGGTAACTAGCAACAAAGTCTGTTGGAGAGAATGGAAATGTAAAGAGCCGTCTCTGTGGAGGAAACCTCTGTTCTAATAATGTTTTGTTTAATGGTTATATGCTGAGCTTACCATTCTCATACTGGTCATCAATGACTGCCAAGTCTCCTCCTTGCTCCCTGCACCAACTTCGAGCATATGACCAGTTTCCTTTAATATCATTCTTTTTTCCTTTGAACATGAAGCACTTATTGTTGAAACGCAGCCAACCTACAGGGGAGGAGGAAAATCGTAACGAGTAATAAACAGAGAAAAAATACTCCAGCTGATGTGAAAGAACCAGCAGCATTAGTCAGCCTGTGTGATTTAACCAAATTTGTATTTAAACTGTGTATGTTACCTGCAGGACAGTTGCCCTCCCAGGGCTGTGTTGGTGGAGGCGGAGTGTGAATATCTCCGGGGAACTTCTTACATACATAACCTGCTGAAGCCCGACCACAGTTGGCATCGTTCCATCCACCTTAGCAAGTCAGAGTATATTGCACGCATCATTATAGTTAAGTCATAAAGACACATTAGTTAAAAAATAGTGTATTTGATCTAAATTGTCAGTTGACAGAAGGTGCAGTACCTTGATGTCTGTTCATCTGCACGCACTGCTCCTCCCCGTTAGCATTGTTGGGCTCACCAGGAGCCCAGTGAGTGTATGTCATAGGGGAGTGGTCGACCCACCTGAGCACATAAAACAGAAATTTTACAGTTTTACATTAAAATATTTTCCTTATCTTCAAATCTGTTAAAGTATGTTGAATGTTTTTAACCAGTAGTAAATTGGTGAATTTGGTCTAAATTTACTAACCAGAGCAATGATAACAATGGTCACATATATAAACTCATAATCATCAGTGCGATATACCGACAGCAACGCAAATTAGGTCAAACACAAGGGTACTAACAAAAATAACACAGCACAGATTGAATGCAAGTTTTTCTCTTTGTAATCAGTATGGCATTGTAGATAAGTGAGATAAAGATGAGTCAACATGTTCCGGTATGAGTGCAAACCTTCCCTTCATAATTTGATTCAAACTGTGGGATCTTTGAGGTTGGGGCAGCTGTTCTCTAAATAAATCAGGCATTTCACGTGGTGTTCATCTAAGTTCATCTAATCAACTTAGCTCTAAGTTACTCTAAGTTACTCCTGCTGTCCCACATGTGTAAATATGTGCATCATTCTCGTTTTTTTTCTGCATACTGTGTGAGGTTGCAAATATTTATTGAAGTCAGATGATATAATCTGACTTACAGTCAGCTGTGGGCAACTTACAGTTTTTCCAATTTTATAGTACATAAAAGGAAAAAAAGAAAAGTAAAATATATGAAAATCAATTTGTGAATTTGTAGGGCTCTGTGAGTGCCTAATGATTAATAAAGACAAAAGATATTTTCTGTGGCAGTGTGGGCTGATTTTTGTGTATAAATGTGACCAAAAAAACTAAAACATAGCAAACCAAAGACGGTAAAACTTTGC